GGCTGGAGTGAATTTCAGTTAATGACAAAAATATATATATGTTCATCTAAATTGTGACAAAACTCCTGATGAACAGTATTCTAATACCAGTGCTACTACTGCCAAGTTTGTTTCGAAGGCTCATTATCATTGAAACCGCTTCTTGTATAGTTTTTTCTTACCCTGGCATTTACACTGACCTAAATTATAGAACTGGGTTTTACTTCCCTACTTTATTGGACATAATGGAGCATTAGGTGTTTCTGTAAATGAAAAAAGTTCCTTTATGAAAAACATGAGCCAAATATTACTCCATTTCTGCTTGTCAAAACCACACTGGTCTTCCTGCCACTAATTCTTTATTACGTACAGACTTGCTTTACTGAAAACTTGGGGAGAAAAAAAGAGATACTAAAATGTTATCCCCTTCCCACTGGGAAAAGAAGAGAAAACCTGAAGCTGAGCTCAGGGGCTTTGCTATTGAAAGAATGTAATAAATTTCTTGGTTGCCTTGTGTTTCAATAAGATAGAGCAAGTAATAAAAATGATATGGCAATCCTGAAAGCACTCAAAATTAAGAAAAGTATACTGTCTTGCAGGATTGGTTTTTAATATTTTAGTGTTGCTGTTCAGTGGTATGTTCAGAGGTAATATGCCACTTGCAATGTATAAAGGTTAATCAAAGTAAATTAATCAATCAGTTGAGGGACAATGTAGTCAACACAACTACTATATTTTATAAATATTTCATAAAACAGCTTGCCTTGTTACAAGCCATTGGAATGGCCAAGTGGAGAATTCTAATTTGTGTTCATACATCTTGCTTTGGATTCCACTTATGAATGAATTTTTCACATTGAGAAAGAGTTTCAGACAGATGGCACTTGCCAGTTGCCATGTGAAACGTGCACATAATTTGTGTGCACAATACTGCATCTGTATGTCCAAATCAGGTACCTGATATATTTGTGTTTGCAGTTATCTAATTTTCAAAGGCAATGAGGGCAATTGTGCCTACAGATTAGGCACACAACTGTACATATATTCATATGCTAACTGGGCTGACAATTTGCTTCAGTATGTTTTAACAGCTTCAGAGCTGTGAGGGAAAAAAAATGCTCACCATAAGCAGGACTGGCAGCGATATTACACTAATGCACCATAAGAGTAGGCCACTGCAAGACTATGGAGGTGTCCTCATTCATCATGTCAGATTCCCTCAACCAATCACCAGCAATGAATGTTTGGCTTCTTCCAAGATATTTCTTGTTTTCATTACCTCACCCTTTCCTTAGTTGGTACTTCCCTACTCAGTTATGATATCAAACACACCGTACCCCAAATACTTTTAGAATTCCAAAGTCAAAACCGAATTCACTGAGTCAAGACTTAGAAGATGAAAAAGCAACAACTTAAGACTTCATCCTGGGCTTTGGAAAACTGAATTGTAAAGGTTGCTGAAATAACGCTGAGTCTGAAACTAAGCCATCAAAAGCAAGGACATTCAGAATTAAGGCAGGATTATTATTTAAAATTCTAGCACTGAAAAGACACCACCAGGCTGGGCCCTACTATGCTAGGTAATGTACAAACATAATAAATTACAAAGAATCTTTCTTAATTCACTGGTTAAGACTACATCTCATGGGTATCCCCCCAAAAAGCTACGCTGCAACATGTGCTGTTGGACTATATGAACCCTTCCAAGCCCAGTAAGCTGTGCAGGAAATCCTGCATATTAGGAAGGGGATTCAAGTCTTTGTAATGCCTTTGAAAATATTGACAATGATCATACATAATTCATGTTGACTTCCCAGCCGACCCACACTTCTGCTTCTTACACATGCTCAAGAAAACATTAGCCAAATCGAAGCTCATGCTTGTACAAATGTCCCTACTAAAAAAACAAATGCAGTTAAGAAGAAGGCAGAAACCCCACCCAAGGTTTCAACATAGTAACGTTTGTAGTGCGTTGTATGAATAGGAGGTGCCGTGTTACCATGTATGATGCAGTAGAAAACCATGGTGGTGAATGCTACAGTAGTGACTATAAATTAATGAATATTTTGAGACAAATGGGAAACTGATCTAATATGAGCTGCCTTCCACGATGTGTCAAAGCCAACAGACAAGGAATGCCTGAAAATTTACAGACAACTAACAGGTGTAACAAAAGAACCTTGGTCAGCAGCAGTAAAATATACACCAGAAGCAACTCTGACCTGTAGGAACTATAAGTGTCTTCAATTATCAACCCATGCTTTCATGCACCTGGTGAACTTCTGGGAAGCTGTTTGTTTATTCCTTTCCTCCTTTAACCTTGGAATTCATTATGTGCAATTAGAGGATTAAAAGTGATACCTTGAATGCAGTCAGTTTAGCATATGGACTTTTGGAAATCTGAAATATATCTGCTTGTATCATCCTTGTACATTGAAGAAAAGTAAAGGGTGCTTAATATGTAATAAGTAGTCAACAATTAAAATAATTATAATTGCAGATAACATCTTTTGAGACCTTTTTGAAAATATTGGACTGCTTTCACATGATATGTTGTTTTTTTCGTGATTTATGGTGCTGTCCCTTCCCATTATTCTACTGCAAACAGAGGATTTATTGTTGTATTTCTTTTTGCACTGATGTCAGTTGTTAGGTGTATTTTATCTGCATGGAATTGTTAAATTGATAAAAAAAAGTTTTTTAAAAAATTTAAATTGCAGGAAAATACATAAAAATTAGCAGCTTCAAGATTTCAGTGAAATGAAAGATTAAAATTCATATAAACTCAAACTGTTAGAATCCCTAATTCCTTTATTAGAGCTGAGGATAATTATTTTCAGTTCTAATTAATGTGTAACCCAAGCAGTATGCAGCTTTCAATAGAAAATGAAACGTTGAATTAAATGAAACTGAATAATAGTTTTTCTTTTAGCACAGACAAATATGTTACAGGAATGACTGTAGGTACTGCAGGTAGTTAAAGGGGCAGCATTCATTAAAAAAAAAAGTAAAGTAATTATAGGTGCTATGCCTGCCCCAAAATACCACTGCCAGTTTTTGTTGCTTTACAATCACATTTATCTATTTCTGAAAAAAAAAATTCTCTCTCCTCTTATGTGGAAGATTCACATAAACACAAGGGGAAATTGAGCGACTCCAAAGGAAAACAGTGCAACTGAATATAAAGAGAGTGCTGTCAAATAAACCAACTAAGAAAACTGGAAAAGAGAGAAAAATATGTTTTTTAATGTCTGTTAAAATAATCTTATATGTTACTTGTATCAATGAGTAGGTAAAAAAAATTTCAGACAACTGTGATTTTTATATTGGCAATGGCCCTTTAATAAGAATATCATTAACAGTTTAGGTTGGTGTGTGTTTCTTGCAGTGTCCAAAAAAAACTAATTACGGTATTTAACACATTTTAGACTGATATTTTCAGAGGGGCCTAAAGGATTTCTATGCCAATCTCTTGTTAAAGTTTAGTGGGAACTGAGCATCCAAATCTCAGATTGTTTTGAAATATCCTCCCTAAAACACTGTAAATATGGAGGGCCAAATCCTCCTTGCCTTACCCATATGAACAGTCCCAGAGACCTCATTAGGATGAGCTGCATGAGTAAGGCAAGCATGGGTTGTCTCAGAGTGTTATTTTTCACTGGGAGAATTGTGAAGGGAATGTTGTCAAAGCGATTGGCTAGAGTCAGTGTGAATCAATCCGCTAACTCCTCACGTGCATCTTTGAAAACCTACCTCTGAACACAAAATGATTGCAAGCTGTCAGGTAAAGCTGATGTAGTCTATAATCATCTCCCTAATAGAGCACAACACAGTAGTAATCTCATAAATAGCTGGTACTCAGATGGGTTTTAATTGCTTTCAA